ACACGGCACCTTTACTTTTATACCAGCAAAATTCTTGCCTAATTTTTAAAAAAATATATAAACCTTGTAAAATACATACAGAATAAATGTAGGAAATAATCATTAAGCCTAGCTGAATGATTTTATATTCACTCCCTACCATTAGGCCTATAATGGTCAATATACTCAACACCAACATCTCCCCAGGGTTTTTTTTGTTGTTGTTGTTTTGTTGGTGGTGGTGCTAGGGATCAAAACAAGGGCCTTCCTGATGCCAAGCAAATGCTCTGAACTACATCCCCAACATCCAATTGTCAATTTTTTTTTTCCAAGTAGAACAAAAGGCTGAAGCTTTATATACTCTTCAGGTTCAGAAATAGAAAAGGTTGTAAAAAATACGAAGTTTTAGGAGCTAAGCCTGCAAGTCCCAATATGGTTAACTTTCTCAAGAGGAATTATTCCTTCTCCAAATCTCTATCCTGGAATCATTAGCATCTTTATTTAATAATAAATTCCCAAAACTGAAGATTTTAAAGGGTAAGTACCCTCTTTTTAAAGCAGCAAATACTTGTCAGAGCTAAGAACCAATGTTTGTGTCAATGCCAGTTTGTTATTTTGCTTTAACTTAATTCAAACATTTACTGAACCTGTATGTGCCAAATTCTGTGCTCAGAGCCAAAGATGAATAAAGCCTAGACCCATCTCCACAAGATGCATATCTGCCAACCAGGTAATATAATAGGATGGGCTTGACAGGCAGAAATCTGTAGCATGGCTCCTTTGGGGACAAACATGGTTTTGCTGTAGCTGGGGATTCAGGAAGCTTGGAGAACACATGGGACTTAAGAAGAGTGGCTTTAAGTATGAGAGAGACATGAAGGGAAAAAAAAGCTACTAAGAACAGACTTTAAGTTAGTATTTTATTAGATCTTGTCCTGTATCCAGGAGTGGGAAAGAGAGTAGGGCTGGAGGGACAGTAGAGTCTGCTTTCTCATTCTTAACCGTCTAATGCTATGAGCATACAGGCCAAGCAGCAACATACCAAGAGTCAATCATATTATATTTTAGGTCACTCCAGTAGAAAATATTGAAATTACCAAACAATTATGGTAATTTGCTTAAGACGATGACCAAATACTCAAGCAAATGACCCAAATTTGGTTAAATGATACTTGAGTGATAAGTATATATATCCACAGAAAACAAAATTGTGCTTATGTGATAAACAATGGAACATCAACAGAAATGTCAGTGTTCAAGGCTAGTCTCAGCAACAAAGAACAATAGGCAGAGGTGGGAAGAGGGGTACACATCCCAGCTACCCAGGACTCCAGACTAGGCAATTTAGAGACCTTGTTTCAAAAAGGAGGGTGGGACTCACAATGTAGTTCAGAGATAGAACCCTGCTGGGTTCAACCTTCAACTCCCATTGGAGAAAAAAAAGAACAATAGGTCAGTAGGTGCCCTCTTTTATGTTATGCCAGGATTAGTTCTGAAGACAATATATAGGAGATTGAAGGAAATCCAACATTACACTCAAATTGCCTGTATGCTGCCTTGCTCCTTTCAATTTGCCCAGGAAAACATCACCAATCATTTTAAATCTCTGTTGTCGATTCTTTAAAAAAAAAAAATGTATTGGTGTATGTGTGATCTTTCAGTCTCTTATATAAAAGAATGATTACTGGACTTGCAAGTGTAAAGCCCTTTATTTCCAATAATATAGTTATTTAGAATTTTCCTCACCATTAACAGAATAGGCAAGGTGATTTCTAAAGTCCTACCTCACTCTGAATGCCAATGAATCTTTCACAACTTCAATCACATCATGTTAATCAATCAGAACTCATATTACTCTACACTTTTAGTTTTTCATAGCAGCCTGATCTTCCAGGACTTAAGAACTTAAATTAGTAATATAAATACTATAATTCAGCTAAATTTGAAATTAAAAAAGCTTTTCTGTGCAAGTCAACAACCTAATCACTATTTTATAGCATGATATATATTAAAAACATGTTCCAAAGTCTAAATACATGACAGACTATGTTGTTAGAGCATCAACTCTTTTTTTCTAAGCTGGAGATAGGCTTGACCCACGATTATACTTCATTTCAACATATTACATTAAAACCAGATAAATATTTGGCCCATGTATTCATTTTGATATCTTACACAAAAGCAAAAACCTTCAATACCTACTCTCATTCTGTCAAAAAAGTAAAGTTAAAACACAATTCTTACCTCTCCATGTTTCTCAAAAAACTCACTTTTGTGTCGATGCAATGTATCAATAGCCTTAGTTAAAATCAGTGGTATTCTGTCTTTAATTGTAAGATATGCAAATGATCTAGAAGAGAGAGTCACATACATTACTTAGTGGCTTTAACACTAAAAGATAGGTCATCTTTTAGTTTCTGGAGTATCTGATTTAAATTAAAATTCCTTTCCATGCAATTATGAAAAAGTAAACCCGTTTGTCCACTATATTGACAAAAGAAAATCTGAAAACTTCTGTTATGTCATGGAAACTAAATTATCCTGGTGCCTCTAATCCCAGTTTTAATCTTTCTTATCTTTCCATCCTTCTCTTTTCCTGAATCAGAAACCAGTTTAACAATGAGATAGCTAGGAAAAGATTAGCTTTGAAAGCAAGGAGGCTCTAGTTCCAGGCTTACTACTTACTAACTTCATCAGCTTAGAAAGACGAATAAGGCAACAGAGGTAAAACTGCGCTAAAGATTCTAATGCGTTTGAGGAATGAAATAAATTAAAAATACTTATGCATCTATTTTTATTTCAATTCTTTTCAAAGGTTTTTCTTACTACCTTCTCTATCTGCACAAAGAATTCCTCATTCCACTCCACTAAACAAGGTGAACTACTTGTCTTACTCTAAATACAGCTAAAAAATCAGAGATTTTTCCATAAATGTCTAAAAATGAAGAATCCTGGAGATGAGGAAAAGTTTACACTTGCATTAAAAAATTAAAATGATTCTTGATTTTAGACATATGAAACCAAGATTTACAGATTATCTATGTGATTAGATTTTAAGAAAACATTTGATTCAGTGAGTAAAAACAGGATTAGGTGGTGAAATTCTGTGCAGCTTTTTAAACATCTGTAATACAGAGCTTAGCAGTGTTTATATCTCAAATCACCAAACACAAAGTAAAACCAACAGAGTTCACAAGACAGTTTTGAAAAGAATGCCTCTATTCAAATCATTTATTCCAAATTTAATTTGAGATCACTATACTCCTGAAAATTCAAGTATTTTATGCCAGTTTTCAAATTATTGGGCTTAGGTACTTCTTCAAATACTTCAAATATACACTTCTTCAAAGGTTTTCTTAAATGATAACTCTGAAACTTTTAAGGGAAAAAAAAACTGCAAAAACACATTAAGATTCTGTGGTGCTTCAAGTATAGTAAAGCATTGTTTTTGTCTGATATGAATATTAATTACTCTGATTAGAATTTTTATAAAATCACTAATACTTTGAAAAGAGGAAGGAACATAAACCAATGGACACAAATTTTCTAAGGCAGCAGATTCAAAAACAAATGAAGGTCTTCCTTTGAGATTTCACTTTAATTGAATTGTTCTTTTTCTATTACCTTTCCTCATACAGAGGTCTGCACCCTCCATAAGGTCCCTGGTCAGGTGAGGCCAGAGGCTCCTAAGGAAGTGCTCACTCCCCTATGTGCAGGACCCTGAGGGGGCCTTGATGCCTCTCTGGCTTTAATATACTCCCTGGCCAGGTAGGTCTTTGACTTCTGTTTCCTGCAATATTTTGAAGGAATGACCTATTTCAAATAGGAACTTGGCCACCCAATTTATACAAATGGGTGTTACATTTATCATCCACAGCTTTGCCTAAATAGCCCCAAACCACTGTAAATCCTGCTCCCCATCCACTTTTCCTTTCCCAGATGTAGTCATACATTCTAAACATATTCATATGGTAAATTCCAAAAATACAATTTCTAAATTTTAAATCAATAAATTTGTTTTATTATTTTTGCTTATCACTTAACTGCAGGTGCAGTTAAAAATAAAAATTAATTTTTAAAAATAAAATTAAAACTTCACCATAGGTATGTGTAGGAAAAAACATAGGACTATAATATAGGATTCGGGTTTCAGGCGTCCACTGGGGGTCCCGCTACTCCAAGGGGAGCTACTTGTACACACATTTTTTTTTGTTTGTGAGATTATGAGTTAATTTGATCAGCGCCAGGACTAAACACACATCCCCACAGACCTCCGATTCCCAACTTTTACAGAGAATTTTACCCTCCCTACACACAAGGGCATTTATTACAGTGGATAAATCGGCGGCCACCGACAGAGACTGCACAGCGGATCCGAGTCTTGAGCTGGCGGCGGCCTCCCGCCCCACGCGAGTCCGCGGGACCCCAGAAGGCGCCCTGGGACGTGGTTCCCCACGGCGGGACTTGAACTCGCAGCCTCGGGGCAGCGCGCACCCTCCGATCGTTACCCACACGTTCCCGGCTAGGCCTGGCTCGCCGCAAAAGTGGGCAGGAGAAAAGCGAGACGAACCCCACGTCCTGTCCCGAGAGAGACGCCGGAGCATCAGCCATCCCGTCGGGCGTTACCGGCCCCAACGCTCGGGTTTCGCCGATTACAGGAAGAGCGAAGGAGGAGCTGAGAAAGCGTGTGCTGCAGCTTAAAAAAAAAAAAAAAAAGTGCTTTTGAACGAAAAACTTTATTTGGTGCCCGGACAAGTGGCAAACAATGGCTGGCTCGAGGACGCAGAGATCTTCCGGGGACGAAGGCGACAACAGCGGAGGGCAACGAGTGGAGCGGAATCAGGAAGCGGGCGGAAGGCGGAAGCAGGCAAGGACCGGGAGTCCCAGGGCCTAGGGAGCGGAAGAGGTCGCGGCGGCGCGAGTCACGTGGTCCGGCGATCACGTGGCCCGGGCCGCTCGCACACCGCGGGGCCCGCAGTTCTGTACGCTTGCGCAGTACGGGCTCTGGGAGGAAGAGCTTTCCCGGGACCAGGGTTGGCGGTGTGCACGGCGGCTGCCGGGTGACTGTGCTTTGCCCTGTGGCCCTGCTGCGGAAGTTCGCGCCCTTGGCGCTTTCTTCTTTTCTCGGAGAGGTTAGTACACTGCCTTTCCTTAGCACCTGTGTGGCCTCGCACCGAGGTCTCTGACTTGGCCCCTGGACCCCCGAAGCCTCCCTGGTGATAACAGGTTTCTTCAGTACTGCTAGGTTCCCCTGCCTCTTACAGTGATCTTCGGTGGACTTAGCTGGGAATAAAAAGCACTCTAAGTCAGCAAACACTTGTTGACCCCAGTTTTGAGCCAGAGCATGGTGGTAGCTGTAAAGATGAATAGGGTAGTTTTGCATTCAAGGAATATAAAGGCATACATGAGTGCTACTTATGCATTGAATCGTAACCTACCTCTAACCGTTTTCTTAATTGCTGTTATTGTTCTTAAAAAGTAAAAATGTGCCCATGAACTGAGTATATGTCTTGTATTTCATTTTTTAAAAATCAGCTGATGCCTATGTCTAGGCATTATTGTCACAGGAGATACAACATGAACAAACACAAAAATATGTTTCATGGAGATTACATTTTAGAGGAGGCAGAAATATTTGCTGTTTTATTTTTCCTTTAGCATTGTCACTGATGTATATTTTACTGATTTGCCACATTTATTGTTTGCCCCCTCCCAATATAAGGTTCAAAAGGGATTCTTGTCTTTTATTTTCAGTTGTATTATAAGCACCTAGCACAATACCTGGCACTTGGTAAGGACTCAGTTCATATTTCTTGTATGAATTAATAAACTAAAAATACAAGATATGCAAGTAATGATAAATAAAATGGAGAAATAGAAAGTGAAGGAAATCAGAAATGGTGCCGATTGTGTGTATTGAATGAAGCGTCTGGAGGAAGGCTTTGCTAGATGGGAAATATTTGAAGGGGATAAGGGAGCTAGGCTTATAGATTCCTGGGAGAAGAGCTTAGGGAACAATTAGTGTGAAGATCCAAAGGCCAAGATGAGGAGCAGAGCTGTAGGGCAAGAGATGTAGGAAATGTCAGAGGGGTGGTGAAGAGCCAGAAAATGTGGGTATTTGAAGACCATTTTAAGGGTTTGGAGCATTTATTGTAAAAGAAATGTGAAGCCATCATCAAATTTTGCACTGAGAAAAGATGTGGTCCTGCTTCTCAAAGGATCACTTTCATTGGTATGTGAGAAGAATCTATAGGAGGCCAAGGACAGAAGCTGGGAGACCAGGTAAGAGGCTCTTACTGGTTGCGATGTAGCTTAGTAGTAGAGCACTTGCCTAGAGTGTGTGAGGAGGCCCTGGGTTAAATTCTTAGCACTGAAGGGGGTTGGGAAGAGGCAATTAAAATAATATGTGGGAAAGATAGTAACTTAGACCAGATGGTAACAGTATCAGTGGTGAGAACTGCTTTGAATAAGGCCAGTTGGAATTACTGACAAACTGGGTATGGAGAATGAAGGGAGGAATCAAGGCCAACTCAAGGTTTTGGGTTTTAGCAAATGTAAGAATTGCTATTTGTGAATGGGGAAGACTGTGGGAAGATTTTAGAAGCTCAGTTTTGAACATGTTACATTTTGGTTGCTTATCAGAGTGGTTTAGAGTAAACAGTTGCTGTCCATTTATATTTAAATGATGTATAAAACTGCAAGAGTCGGATTGAGGAGAAAAGAAGCCTAGAGACTGAGCCCTGGTGCATTCCATTCTTGAGGGATGAAAAACCAGGAAAAAATAGAAGGTACAGTCATTGAGGAAGAAGGAAAACTGCCAGTGTAGAATTGTAGACACCAACCGAAGAAGGTGCTTTAAGGAGGGTGGAGTGACCAACTGCATCAAATGCTTGATATGTCAGGTAAAGTGAAGACTGGGAAATGAGCAAAGGATTTAGGAAGGTGAAGGTCTTTGACGACATTAACGGGTGAATTTGGATAAAGTGGTAGGGATGAAAGCCCAAATGGAGTGAGTTTGAAAGAAATCAGAGAAGAAGAATTGGAGACAATGAATAAAACTCCTTTTAGTGGAATAGGAAAGGAACTCAGAAAAAGTGTGCAAGGGGGAAAATGGGATCAGAAGAGAGTTAATTTTTTTTAAGTGGGAGAAATTATAGCACAGATATATAGAATGTTCTAGTGAAAGGGAAAATAAGGCATGGGAGAAGGGAGAAAAGTGGGAAAGGATGAGATTCTGTGTATTTGTGGTGGACTTGGCTCTGTCATAGAAAAGAAGGTCTTGGCTCTGTCATAGAAAAGGATGAGATTCTGTGTATTTGTGGAGGACTTGGCTCTGTCATAGAAAAGAAGCAGTGGGTAGGCAGGTCGATGATGGCTGCGGGTTTGTCTTGTGGAAGTTCCCTTTTGATCATTTCTATTTTATCAGTGAAAGAAGAAGTAAGTCATTATTGAGAATGAGAAAGAAGGGGGAGACTTGAAATTTTGAGGCGAGAGTGGAGAGTGGATTACAGTTGGGAGATGTAAGATTATTGGGCAGCATGAAAGGACCCCCTGGAGTGGTCCTGGTTTTAGAGTGAGAGAGGACAGTGTGTTGTTTGGTCTAAGCACATTCGGCTGCAGGAGTGCAAGCACAAATTAGGTGAGTTACGTTTAATTAGTTGTGGTTATGTCACATGCATGTGGTGGGGGACACACTGGTTTCATAGGGTAGGAAAGAGATTATAATGTTAGGCTGTGGAACATATAAGCAGGTGTAGAGGAAGTGATGTCAGGGGAATGAGAAACAATGAAAAGGTGAGTGGGTCATCTAATTGTAGGTCCTGTTGGGTTGAGAGAATTGTTGGCCATGGGTAGTAGAAGGAATGAGCTGGGAAGATAGGCGGTAGTGTTTGAAGAGTCGACTGGGTGAAATTGGGAATGATACAAGGTTCCACTCAGGGATGGTAGCAGATTTAGAGAGCACTGTCCAAGAGAAATATGCATGGCACAAATCCTAAGCATTCTAGAAACTGCATTGACAATAGTAAAAATAAATGACAATTCAACAACTTATTTTATTTAGCCAACTATATCAAAAAGTATTATGTCAATAAGTAGACAATATAAAAATTATCGAGACATTTTCCTTTTTTAAAATGAAGTCTGAGTCTATACTAGCCTCATTTCAGGTACTTAGTAGACACATGTGCTGGCTGGGTGCCACTGAATAGATCAGAACATGTGATTGTGGGAGTGAACGGCTGGGTGAGATGGAAAACAAGGTCACCCAGGAAAATAGGTCAGAGCTCAGAGGCCAGGGCATCAGAAGGCTCATTTTCACTGCTGACCTACACAGGTAACAGAAGCCACCAAGAGTTATAATGAGAATGTGCTTTTGTAATGTTAGGGTAAATTTTTAAATCTGGTATATTTTTTTAGTTCATGCAATTCAAATTTCACTTACCTCTAATGCATTCTGGTTTTTAGCAATGCCTAAAATTTGTGTGTGTGTGTGTGTGTGACGGGGGAAATCTGTGTCTTTCTCAGCAAAGCTACAGAGAAAACATACTTCTCCTTTGTCCTGTAGCTTTTACATTTTTGTGGAGGTTTTCACATAGCTCCCATTTTAAAACGGTTGTTAGAATGTGGAGGTAAAGAATGTGATCAGAGACAGTGAAAGAATCCAGTTCTGTGTACAGATTTCTAAAATGTTTTATAGTTTCTCCAAAATGTACTTATTATACTAGCAAGGATAGTACTAATTAAAGGTGAACTATATTACCTAATTTGAGGAAAACTAACAGAATAACAGCTTTTGAAGATATTTGAAAGCAGCAGGTTCTACCTCATAAACATCACTGTGATTCATAATTGTCCTTATTTTTCTTGAGGGAGGCAATACAGTGTAGTGACTTGCTAACCAATTAACTTCTCTGAACCTCAGTTTTCTCATCTGTAAAATGCTTCACTGGGTTATTATAAGGTAACATAGAGCACTTGGTATGTAGAAAGTAATGTCTTACTCTGTCTCAGTAACTCCTTTGCTTTTTTTACCAAAGACATTTTTCTGAAATACATCTGACCTGTGGATCTCAATTAAAAGTTCTGGTTTCCCTCTGTCCATAGAAACTCCATAGGATGGCCTGGCATGGTGGGGCACACCTATATTCCCAGCCTCCAGGGAGGCTGAGGCAGGAGGATTGCAAGTTCAAAGTCAGCTTCAGCAACTTAGTGAGGCCTAAGCAACTCAGTGAGGTCTCTAAAATATAAAAAAGGGCTAAGGATGTTGTTCAGTGGTTAAGTGCCCCTGGGTTCAATCCTCAGGTACCCTCCAAAGAAAAAAAGAAAAAGAAACTCCATAGGATCACCTAATAAATCCTCTTGGAATCTGGCTCCTGGCTCCTTTTCCATCCTCTTCTCATTCAGCTCCCTGCGCCCTCCCCTGAAGTTACACTCTATTTGTCAGATAAATAATACATTGTACCTGGTCTGTTTGATTTGCTGATCCCTCTGCCCTTTCAAGATCCAGTTCAGATGTCACCATAATGAGTGTGCCACACTGCTTCTCATCCCACACACTCCCTTCTCCAGACCCCTTAGTGTTTACACATCACACTCTGTGTCCTGTGCTGGACTGTGAATTCTGAAGTCATGGGTTCATACTTGAATCTGTACCACCTAACTTTTTTTTTTTTTTTTTTTAAACTGTTATTGATCCATAGGCTTACTTTTGAAAGAACATATATTTAGAGGCTGTCAGTGTGCTCAGTGGTACAGTGCTTATTTAGCATGTGCAAAAGCACTGGATTCCATCCTCAGCACTGGGGAAAAAAAAGAACACATATTTAATACTGTAGATAAGACAGGAAAATACTTACATCTGCAGTCTCTTTCCTTTGTTTGGACTCTGTACATCTGACATGTCTGACCCCCCTGTCAGGCCCAGCTCCAACCTAAAAAGCATCTTCTGTTTCAAGAAGCAGCTTCAGTTTTTCTGGGAGCCTCTCCCAGTTCTGCATGTAGAATTGAGCGAGTTCCTTGTGTGTTTCCTCGACATCTGGACTACAGCTCAGTGGTGGGGTTTATTCTATGAAATTATGGTGAGCAGATGAAAATGCCTGTCTCCTCCAGGAGAGGGGAGCACCTCTATGGCAGGGACACTCGTCCATTCATGGAGACATCCTTGGCCTCAGCCAGTTGCTTATCTCACCGTAAAGGTTGAATGAAAGTTTTTTTTGTTTGTTTGTTTTGGTTTTGGTACCAGGGATTAAACCCAGGGGCGCTTAACCACTGAGCCACATACCCAACCCCCCGCCTTTTTTTTTTTTTTTTTTTTTTTTGGTTGTTGATGGAGGTTTATTTTATTTATTTGTACATAGTGCTGAGAATCAAACCCAGTGCCTCACACATGCTAGGCGAGTGCACTACCACTGAGCCACAATCCCAACCCATTTTCTGTTTTTTGTTGTTGTTTTTGTGGTGCTGGGGATCAACTTAGGGCCTTGTACAAGCAAAGCACTCTACCAACTAAGCTATATCCCACCACCCCCAACCCTTTTAAAAAAAAAAAAATTATTTACAGACATGGTCTCACTGAGTTGCTTATGGCCTCGCTAAATTGCAAGGCTGGCTTTGAACTCCCAATCCTTAGCCTCCCAAACCTCTGAGATTACAGGTATGCACCACTGCACCCAGCTTTTTTTTTTCTTTTTGTAAATGAATTTGTAAGTATGGATTCTTTTAAATGAAATGCTATTGAAGTAAACTAAGAAAATTGTGTGTGTGTGTGTGTGTGTTTTAGTAATTTTTTAATCTCATAATGTTCCATGTGTACTTATTTTCTCCAGTGCTAAGGGTTGAACCAGGGCCTTATTAGTGGCAGGAAGTGTTCTACCACTGAGCTATACTCCCAGCCATACACATGTGTATATTTTTTAAACTTGTTGTTCTATTATAATTAGGTTAAGATTTTCTGTTTCACAGATTTTAAAAGAAATAAGCTTATTTCATAGAGAAATTATACCTACATATAATTTTAAAACACTAAGGAAACAAAACCAACTTGAAATCTGAAATCTTTTTCTTTCAGCGTGGGATGTGGTAATGCCTGCCAGACTTCTCAAAGCCCTGGCCAGATCCCACAGTGTATTATCAAAAGTACATCAGTGCCGAAGACTTGTTCATCTAACGTTAAAACCGATCAAGGAACTTGAGGATACAATATGCAGCAACCCCTTGACAGTACACCAAAACTTGGATTCATTCTTTCCTGTTGTAGCAGCTGGTGGTTTGAATGAGCCCCAGATCCTGGAAATGAACTGGAAAATATCAGATACAACCAAACTCTGTCCATTAAATACTGTACATTGCCAGGATGAGAAAGCAGGTCTTCCATCCATGAAATCGTATCCTGCTCACAGGAAGGGGACCCACAAACCTAATCTATTGGGTTCTAAGTGGTTTATAAAAATATTAAAGAGGCATTGTTCATCTACTTCAACTGAAACAGTTGTTCCAAAGCAAGACTTTCCACAGATGAAGAGACCACTGAAAGCATCCAGGACCAGGCAGCCATCCCGGACCAACCTTCCAGTTCTGTCTGTGAGCGAGGTAAACGCAGTGTGGCTCTGGCACTTGTGTTTATCACTCATTGCTTATTCTCTAAACGAGCATGTGTTGCAATGCAGCCCTGCCCCTAATGCAAGAGAGCTGGCTACCAACTCAGAATTTCTTTTAAGATCTTTGAAGCCTAATTAATCCAAACAGACTCAAAATCTTAAAAGAATTAGTGATATCCATAATGACAAAACATAGGCAATAAAAGATAAAAATATAGTTTATGAAAGGATTAATTATTGGCCTAAGAAAAAGTTATTGGCCTTTGGAAAACAGCATTAATTCCAATCTGAGAATGGGACTACAAAAAGCACCTATTTTTTCAAAAAATTAATCTGGAAATTCCTCATCATATTTAAAAGGTGTAACTATGCAGACAGGTGGTGCAATGATGTGGCAAGGTGAACTCAAAAAGCAAGGAGCAAGAGGGTTTTCTCTTTTTTACCTTCTGAAGGTTCAAGAGGGTGTTTTACTCACTGCTAAGAGGTTTCTGGGAATTTTTTAGCAGCAATTTGCATTTCTCCTCTAAGTGATAAACAGTTAAGGTTAGGATTAGACACTTTTTTTGACCTTTGTGTTTTGTGTAATACCAAGAACTATGCCTTGTACTTAATGTTTGTTAATTTGGAAAGCATGGAAAAGAGGTAATGAAATCTTTAATTTCAATAGTCATCAACATTAAAAATAGAGCCGGGCATAGTGGCGGATGCCTGTAATCCCAGTGGCTCTGTAAACTGAGGCAGGAGGATCAAGAGTTCAAAGCCAGGGCTGGAGTTCTAACTCAGCAATAGTATGCTTTCCTAGCCCATGTGAGGCACTGGGTTTGATTCTCAGCACCACCCATGAATAAGTAAAGAAAATAAAGGTCTATCAACAAGTAATAAATATTAAAAAAAAAAAAAAAAAAAAAGAGTTCAAAGCCAGCCTCAGCAAAAGTGAAGTGCTAAGCAACTCGGTGAGACCCTGTCTATAAATAGAATTCAAAATAGGGGTGGGGATCTGGTTCAGTGGTCGAGTGCCCCTGAGTTCAATCCCCACTACCCTGCCCCTGCAAAAAAAAAAAAACAGGAATATCGAGTTGGGCCTAGTAGCACAGGCCTATAGTCCTAGCTGCTTGGGAGGTTGTGGCAGGAGGATCGACGATCACTTGAGCCCAAGAGTTTGAGGCCAGCCTAGGCAATGTAGTAATACCTATTTCAAAAACTTAAAAAATGTAAATATTTAAAACCTGATTAGATCTTCTGAAGCTACTAAAAAGCAGGTTAGAATGTCTGTCTTCAAACTTTGGTTCTAAGCATGTTCAATTCTGAGCATGTTCAGTTTGTGTGTGTGTGTGTGTGTATTTTTACTATGCAGCTCACGGTCCCTTCATGACTAATCATCAGATTATGTCATTATGAGTTCATGAATGATTTTTGGTTTGGGTCCTGGGTTGTTTTCTCTATTTGTATTGTTTCTCTACACCCAAAATGTAAAGGACAGTCATGTGTGCAGAAGCTGCTCTCACACCCCTCTTCTTCCAAGAGCTTGGGTTGGTCTGGGAATTTGAGCATTCAGGGGACAGAGATGACACTAAGGATCAAAACCTGAATGGAAGATCCCAAAGGAAGGGCAACTCATTTTTTCTCTTGTCAGGTGTACCTCACAGTGCATGGAGTTTCTTGTGAAGAAGCTGATGCGGTTGAAGGTGTCGCCTTTTTTATCATTACTCATTGTGAACCCCCAAAGAGGCTCCGTTTCCTTAGGCTGTCCTTAGATTTAGAAGCCATTTTCCTGAATTCCATGTTTTATTTTTCTTTAGGATTTTCTTTTTCCTGTTTCTTTCCACAAAAGGATTTGAATTCTAAAAATTCAACACAGTTTCAAATGAGATAATAAAAACATTCAAATTTAAAAGCAGACATTTAATGTGAACAGAGACATTTTACCAGGGACTTAGTAAGAACAATCTATTTGAGCACTTAGTTTTGAGACATCCAGTAATTAAAATAGAGGCAATCATCGGGGGTTGTACATTTCTTTTAATCTGAGTTATGGTTGCATGGAGGGAGGTAGATACAAATAGATGATGTCTTAATAGAAATGGTGTTTATTTTGTGGGTCTTTTCAGAGGCCACATTGTGTTATGTAATAGTGACTTCATTAGGAGTTTCGCAAAACCACAGTGTGTTGCTTTTAAATTTTGAGTTTTCATTTAAGCCCATTTGATAAGGAAAATAAAGATAAAATATTATATTTCTAAGTGATCTGAAGTAGTATAAGTGTGGAGCTTTGTTTTCTGAGTATTTTACCTTTCACAGGAAGATCGTCTTCAGGCATGACTAAGTAGTCTGTTCCTAGGACATAAGGCTTACTTTTTTTCTGCCCCAAGTTGAGGGCTATTCCATTTTCCTGTGAATGTCATAGGACTGGTGACTTCTTTGTTACAGGGCAACCCTTTCCATCACCTTTGACTGAGACAGGGCAAGGCCTCTGCTTAATGTCAGGAAGCATGTCCGCTTCCTCTTGTTCCCACACCTGCTCTAGAGCAAGTATTTGGAATTGCCTGAGGTTTCAGTCACCCTCCAGATTGGAATTAAATCTCTACCTGGTCTCATTTATGGAAATCATAACCTGCTGTGATAGCTGAGTATGGCTTATAATTCAGCAGACGAGCAATGGCAGTGCTCCTTATACATGTCCTGTCTTTCAGGAGCAGAATGCCAGAGGGTGAGACTCACTGGCCTGAGCAGCATGGAGACTGGCATCAGAGGGAGAATGATGGAACACCCATTAGTGTTTTTCAGACTGACCTCATAGCATGTTATAAAATTAACTTTTTACAGAAAAAGGAATAGCGTAGAGAATACCGGAATGCATTTGCTATGATAAAGAAAAATGACTGGTTTATGAAGTTTCTGTGGCAGTTACTGGTTTTATCTACATATATGTATTGAGTATATAATCTGATTTCTCATTATAGGTTGTAGCCAAAAAGTTTATAAGATAAAGCATTTTTTAAGATTTATTTTTTGGTTGTCATTGGACACAATACCTTTATTTTATTTGTTTATTTTTATGTGGTGCTAAGGATCAAACCCAGGGCCTCACATGTGCTAGGCAGACACTCTACCCTTGAGCCACAACCCCAGCCCACTAAAGCATTTACTAGTAATATAATTTATATCTGTATTTGTATCTGTATTTTGTAAATTTGATCTACATTCAGTGTGTAGCAATAAAAATGCATATTTTCCTTATTAAGTATAGTCTATTTATAGTCACAGTACTTTTTGGGGGGGGGGGTGTACCGGGAATTGAACTCAGGGGCACTCAATCACTGAGCCACATCCCTAGCCCTATTTTGTATTTTATTAAGAGACAGGATCTCACTGAGTTGCTTAGTGCCTCGCTTTTGCTGAGGCTAGCTTTGAACTCAGGATCCTCCTGCCTCAGCTTCCCAAGCTGCTGGGATTACAGGTGTGTAACACCAGGCCTCACAGTACTTCTGACAACAAAATATGGGGCGTTTTTCCTCCATCAATGAATTCTCCAACTCTCTAGATGCTAGTAAGATGTCTTACAATTCATTTCAGTTGTGACCCTGTATGGAGTTAGTAAGATTGAACTCAGTCTGTTAGAACTGCCTCCCACTTCAGACACCAGCCCCAAGTCCCAGATTATAAATCGGGTTCCCATGTCTACCTTCTTGAATTTGCAGTTTGCTAGAATGGCTCCAGAACTCAGGGGAACAATTTAGATACATTTACTAAGACTCATGAACATCCAGGTGAAGAGGTTCACTGAATTTGAGAGGAGGGCCTGAAAGTTCCAAGCTTCTATTCAAAGTTTGTTGTTTCTGGCAACCAGTCCCCCATCCTGAAGCTATCCCAGAGCCCACCAAGAATCACCTTATTAGAACAAAAGGTGTACCTATCCTTGAGAATCTTCAGGGGATTTGGAAGCTGTGTGCCAAAAACTCAAGGCAGATACCAAATATTACAACAACAAAAAAATGTTCCTATCACCCGGTATCCCTTAGGAAATTACCAGGGTTTAGGAGCTCTGTGCCAGGAGCCAAGGACAAAGACCAAATATAAGTTTATCCTAGAATAATAGTAAAATAGAAATAAGGTTGTGATCATATACTATTTTTTCTTCAGTAATAGTGTATGAATAAAAATTTTTTTCAGAGCATGTGGTGCTGTTAGTGTAAGAATCTTGTATAGATTTCTAGCCCCATCTGCTGGAACATGTCTTCTGTGGCCATAGAAACAAAACATACAGAAATACAGTGGTTCAATGTTTTAACATAGGCCTAAATTTGGGGCCTAAATCCAGTAACTATTTTGGGTTGATTTGGTCCATCTATTTAAGAACAAGTTACTTATCCCCAAGTTAAAATCCAAAATTTGCTTTACATACGTACATGTAACTAATGCTTAATAAATAAGGATTCACTGTAAAAAGCCAGGGAAAAAAGTTTCTCATTCAGTAACAGCACCTTTAATTAACAGTAGGAGATATGGCCAGGTGAAGTACACACACCAGTGATCCCAGCCACTTGGGAGGCTGAGGCAGGAGAATTGCAAGTTTGAGGCCAGCCTGGGCAACTTAGAGCAGGGTTGGAGGTGTGGCTGAATGGTAGAACGCCCAGTACCACAAAGAAAAAAGGTGCTGGTGGTGGGGTTTCAAAGACAAGGCGCTCCATGGTTCTCTTTCCCTTTTCCAAATGGTCTTACATGAAAAATTGAAATTTGGAATCAAAACCAAAACAAATGTCAAAAAAGTCAAGTTTCAAAACTTGTGAATTGTCTTTTATTAGAAGGCCACAACTTAAGAGGAGTATGGTGAGCCCTGTTAATACCTATGACATTGAAGAGCTCTTTGAGCCAAACTAAATAGAAGATACTGAGAAAAGAAAAGGTGACAATCTTCAGACTTAGAATGGCTATGGAAAAAGAGGTAATGTTAAAGATTTACTTGTAGTCTGGAGTTCAGAATGTACGTTCTCGTAGAAATAGTGATTGAATGACCACCCACTCTTCCAAAGTTCAAAATAGCATGCATTTTAGCACATGTGGGCTGGGCCAGTTATAAAAATAAAGCAGATGTGAGACATTTGAGGTAAAGACTGTGTGGCTGTGACCTGGGCCCACTACTCAGCCCTAGTCCATGGTGGCCGGATCTCCACTTAGGCAAAAGATGGTAGGGAAATGTGGATTTTGTGTGAAATCTCTCAATTCATTGTTGACTTGTGACTCCCACCTTAGAAATGCTGTGAAGATCAACCCGGGTGGCTGTCGGAGCTCACTGTGTTCAGCACAGTTACAGGCTAATCCTCGTGGACTGGCCTTGGACTGTTGTTATCTTCTGTCTTCTCCTTTTTGCGCCTCCCCCCTGCTCAGTTGAAACCGATCTTATTATCAGTCGCAGTCAGAGAAGGCACCCACCCTAACATGCTGTGATTTTGTCCAGCAGGCCACATCAAATCTGCCAGGTCTCACCGAGTAGTGCTGTGCCTTACCTGATGGTTCTGACAGGACTCCCTTTCTCTCAGCCAGCTTAAGCTCCATGAAGCCAGGCAGGTCTAGGCCATGCCCATCCTATTCTTGCCCTCCAGTGACTACCTGGTCTCTGAAGCGTGTCTGTGTGTGGTGTGTGTGCGCTTGTGTTCTTCCACGTGTGGCTATGGGAAGTAGCTCACTGCAAGAGGGGGCTACCTCATCATTCTCCACTGATTTCAGCTCATCTGACTTAATGTTTTTTTCTAATTACTTGGTGTGCTTCTGAATAGATACTTTGTTGATTTTTTGACGTTTCAGTTTTTGTGGTTTCTCAAGTCTTCCATTTACTCCTGAGCTGCTTTTTAAGCCACTTGATTGTGTAACAGACTGAGGAGAAGACAAAGCAGGGTTAGCCCATTAATGGAGAAAGGGTAGGAATTAAGTAACAGGAGCCAGAGGAAGGAAGGACTTCACAGACTGCTTCTCCAGAATTTCAGAGTGGGAATGCCTAGGAGTTGAGTTGAGGAAGTCCTAGGAAGAACTGTTCATTTAGTGACTCTTAAACTTCTTTTGACCAACTATAGTTCAATAAATATTGAACAGTCCTGAGAAATACATATTTATCAGCTTTTTTAAACTTTAAAATAACCCTATAAAGTAGGCATTATTATTCTTGATTTTTAAAAAAATTTCAATCATATTTTTGTCTGAATTCTTATGCTGATAGCTTTCAAACTTTCCTGACCTCTTCTCTGGTGAGAAATATATTCACCATTTTATATACATAGTGACATACATAAGTAGACACATATGTGACAGAAAACTTCATATAGTAACATTTGCTCTTACAATGAGTAATGCACCATGATATTTTGTATTTTATTCTTTTTTTATATTTTATTAGACTTTTTTTTTTTTTTAAGCTGGCTTAGGTCAACTAAACTGACATCTGCATATGACAGATGAAGCTGCTTACCTCATGGTGGCTGGGAAGCAAAGAGAGAGAAAGAAGAGGGGCCAGTGTCCCTTTCAAGGTCACATCCCAGTGACCTAACTTCCTCCCGCTAGTTTGGACAATCACTGCAAATTGCTTACCATGTATATGTGGTATGGACACACAGGTATCCACATGTGTGTACAAACAGGACCCCCAGCAAAGCACTGACGGACAGGACATGTTCTCAGAGTTGCAGATTTTTTTGTTTACTATTAGCCAGAATAAAGATATTATAATTCTTTTGTGGATTTTAAGGACATCAAATACTAATGTTGTGAAAGAGTCAGAAACTCTGGGTTGGAAAGCTGCTCAGGCTGCTTCAGACACTGCCAGTTGGAGCACGGCTTCCCTTTCAGGATCATTATTCCATCTTTTTGGCTAGCAGAAGCAAATGCTTCTGTCAATGAGCTGATAGTTGTCTCTCTAACTTCTTTGTCTTCATACTTATCCCTTCTCTGGTATGAACTTTTGAGATGTTTGAAGAAAACTTGAGTTCTGGCTTTGCCAAATGAGGTCCCCTAAGTTAGGGACATAGTAGCCATCACGGATGTTTGAGCCTCTTGGTAACCCACCTTGTGCTCACAGAACCTGATGCACTGCACAGCATTTGCCACAGCAGACGAGTACCATCTGGGAAATCTGTCTCAAGAGCTGGTCGCCCATGGATACATTGAAGTAACAAGCTTGCCTAGAGGTACTTCTGCTTGAACCTGGGGCCAAGTATGTTAAAATGTATTAGAAAATAATTTTCCTGTGATATTGTCCTAAGTTTGCATTTGTTAGCATTTCACTTTCTGTTGAAAGGATTGTAATCATAAAAGTGGTGTCAGATGTCTTTATAAAGAAATTAATTGTGTTTATAGATCATTTGGTTCTCAGATTAAATTTATTCATAAGATCACTATTACTTGGGAAGATCAAAGGCTGTGTGTGGTAGTCATCTGTCTTTCGCTATAACAAATACTCGAGATATATCAACATAATAAGAGAAAAGGCTTATTTTGGCCCATACTTCAGAGGTTTTAGTCTGTGGTCAGTTGGCCCATTGCTTTTTGGACCTGTGATGAGACACCACATCATGGTGGGATCATGTGGAATCAGCTGCTCACTTGTGACAGCTGGTACTTCTTGAAACAGGGAAGGTGAGAAGAAAAGAGAGGAAGAAAAAGGGCCAGTATCCTTTTCAAGAGCCTACCTGCAGTGACCTAACCTCCTCCCATCAGGCCATCTCCTAAGGTTCCAACACTTCTAATAATATCATGGTCTGAGGACCAAACCTTTGGTGGACGCTTACCCAAATCAAAGCCCCATGCTACTTCTTTTTTGTCACATTAAAAAGTTATTTTAGCATTATAAAACCATGAAATTGGTGGAAGGGCCTTTTTAAAAAATTCACCAGTCCATTAGTGAGACCCTTGCCTCAATTAAAAAAAAAAAAAATTAGAAAAGGGGCTGAGGATATAGCTCAATGGTAAAGCATCCACTGATCCACCAATACCAAAACCAAGTAAATAAATTACCAGTCCAATACTTCAACAAAATTAGTTAAAATATAATATAGTATAAGAAAGAAGAAAATTAACAAGTGAGGTTTTTAGGATAGTTTCAGGTAGGATTCTTGAGAAGATATCCTGTTTTACATTTAAAAATGAATAACTTAGAACATTTTAATGGGAGAAAATTTTACAGTAATTCTCAAGATAGTCCACTACTGAGAAAACTTGAGTTTCCTTCAGAGTAGCAAAAATATCAGGGTTGAAAACTTTTCTGCTACAGAGAAAATTCTTTGTTAAAGACTCATAGATGACATAAAAAACAGTTGAATGTCTTGCTTTTTCAGCTTTGGTGACCTCAACAGAGTGTTTGTGCTGTTGGATGACAAAAAGAATTAGAATAACAGAGCCATGTCCAGAGCCCCTAAGATGAAAAGTTGCTTAGGGGTATTCATGGTGGGCACTGAAGGCTGTCGGCAGTGTGGCTCTGGGCATTGCAGAGTTGGGAAACTGTATACAACTGTTTGTAAATAACTAATAGTAACTTAATTGGTATGTTAATATTACTTATAATGTATTACATAAAATTCATTTACTTACAAGAAATATTACTGTACTAATATGTAAATTAACTACTGAGTAATGAATATTGTTATGTATTTGATAATATTTAAAAGGTTTAAATTTTTAAAATAGTTGCAGATAACTCTAGTTGTAGTTCTCAGAGTCTCCTTGGTGTACAAAGTTGTCATAAGTACTTCTGTAAAAATGTACAGATGACTTTTAAACCTGTGTCACTTTGTGACCTCGTTTTGTTGTTGTTGTTATTATTTTAAACCACAGATGCAGCAAATATTTTGGTGATGGGTGTGGAAAGTTCTGCAAAAGAAGGTGATCCTGGAACAATATTCTTCTTCAGGTAACACAGGAAGGAAACCCTGTTGGCAAATGAGTTCCTGACCAAGTCCCTCTAGTCGTTAAAGGTTCATGTACCTCTCATAACAGAACATGTGTTCAAAATGTATTTGTGACCAGAATCTTGTTTTCTCTTTTTTGGTGGTGCTGGGGATTGAACCCAGGGCCTTGTGCATACAAGGCAAGCACTCTACCAACTGAGCTATATCCCTAACCCAATCATCCGATTCTTTCTTCATCTAGCAGATCTGGAATCCTCTGGCAAATCCTCTTGGAAAAGTTTTGTTTTGTTTTGGTACCAGGGTTGAACCCAGGGGCGCTTAACCACTGAGCCACATCCCCAGCCCTCTCTATTTTTTATTTTGTATCACTGAATTGCTTAGGCCTCTAAGTTGCTCAGGCTCGCTTTGAACTTGCTGTCCTTATGCTTTATCCCACAAAATTGCTGGGATTATAGGCATGCACCACTGTGCCCAGCAAAATAAACAAATTTTAAAACAAGTAAATAGGGGCTGAGGGTGTGGCTCAGGGTAGAGTGGTTGCTTAGCAACCACTGGATTCAATCCTCTGCACCCCCCCCCCCAAAAAAAAAAAAAGACCAACTACTAGTCTTCTCCTGCTTTGTCTCTATTTGTAAATGTGGATATTCACTGACGTTTAGGTAAAGTATCTGTCTCCTAGTCATCTCAGTGCCTGTGTAGGACTCATGCCACCTCCCCTGCTGTTCTTCCTTCCTTTTCTTTCTTCCTTTTTTGTGGCTTTTCATCTAAATTTTTAGCCTGTCTTACCTCTCCAGAGACTTCAGACAGGGACCCTGACACACATATACTTACTCCTTTTATGTAGAGACTGTCTTGATACCAAATACAGTGGAGTAGTTGAATGGTAATAATAATAGAAACCATATTTTTTTAAAAATCTCCCCACACTTGAGGAAGGTCTCTTATTCCCATCTTACTGCCAAGAAAGGGGAGGGTCAAACAGGACTCAGTGAATTACCCAGGATCGTGAGACTCATAGGTGGCAGAGCAGAAACTTGTGGAAAATCTATAAGAATCCAAACTTGAAGATGGACAAGATACCACAGCACTCGCTACTCCAGAGAATGAGATAGAAGGGTTTTTTGAGCCCAGGAATTCAAGAGTTCAAGACCAGCTTAAGCAACATAGTGAGACCTTTTCCAAAAAAAAAAAAAAATCTGAAGTTTGATTGAGGGTTTTGTGATCTTAGTCCTTAGGGGTGTTGAAAACAAGAAGCCTTATTTTTGTTCACATAGATGCTGCCTTCCATTTGACCCTACCATTAGAGATAATCAGGATTTCAACATTTAGCCCAAGTAGAATGACAGCAGCCCTGTGCCTCAAAGTGAAAAGTGTAGATTTCTGAGGGCTTAGATCAGCACTGTCCAGGGGAGATGTGGTGAAGCCTCACTCGTGATGCTGTGTTTTCTAGTTATCACAGTTTTAAAAATGAAAAAAAAAAAAAGGAGCAAAGCTGCCACCTCAAGGTGGCCAGGAAGCAGACTGTGACGGAAGGGCCTGGGGGCCAGATACACCCTCCCAAGGCACACTCCCAGTGACCTGCTTCCTCCAGCTAGGCCCCGCCTCTGGGGCTGTTTCCACTATCTCCCATCCGCTAGGGATGAAGCACTTATCACAGGGCCTTTGGAGGAGCTTTTAGAGCCAAACCGCACCCTAGCATTTGAATTCAGTGGTGAATTTCACACTTAGAGCTCATCTCAGATGCCACCAGGCATGTTCCAATTGCTCCATTGCTCCAGGTGGCTTCTGGGCACTGTATTGCACAGCCTGGCTCTAGATGGAGCGGTGAACATCTGCACATCTGAACCAGTACTGTGGTTGTGGCTTTGCTTCAGCAATGTGTCCTGAGACTCCACCCTGACCCGTTACACCAGCGTACTCACTGGCCTCCCTACCCGCCTGCTCAGCCCACCACTGCTCCTTTGGTCTGTTGTGGGTGGAGTTGTTCTTCATGATGCAACTCTGATGATGACACTCTCCTGCTTAAAATTCCAGGGGCTCTTCCCAGACTGTCACAGCACAGAGTCCTGTCAGGGCTGGGCTCTTGCCTGTTGCTTCAGCCTGAGGCTCATGTCCAGAATTCATGACCCTGCAGCTTCTGTTTGTCCAAGACACTGCCCTGTTCCCAATGTCCACCTCCCTGAACCTGTGCTGGTTCTGATGCACATGTTCTGTTTTCCTCATGTGGCTAGCTCTGCTAGTCCTTGAGAATTGTCCCTCTCCTGGACATCCCATAGTACATTCTGCATAACTTTTAAAGCCCTGGTGGTCTAGGTGTGTCTTTTCTAGCTTGGAGTTCCTGGACGATGGTAACGGATCACACTCATTTTTTTTCCATCCCCAGTGCTAAAATAAGCACAGACCCACACGTCTACTAAACACTTTGCTTGAGACATGTCTAAAGAATGATGTGAATGAATCCTATGTACCTTCCTTCCATTTCCCCCTTGTCTTTTTCAGCACAAAAACCCAAAGCCACGACTCTTTATTTACTAAAACAGATTAGTATGCGAAACTCCACACATGAAACCAAGTTCATTTATGGTCTTTAGAGCTTACATTCTGTCAGAGACACTGTGCAGGTGGGAGCTTTCCTCCACTGAGGCAGTTAGCTGTCAGAGCTTATAATTGGTCTTGTCTCTTTATTCCACAAGGTTAAAAACATAATCTTTGCATATAGCAGAATCTTCCTAATAAGGTGGGGTCTCAGAAGTTTTCCTAATTTTGATTTCTGTGCATCCACATTGAACCAAACATGAAAGAGTCCAGATACAGGAATTAATATTACAATAACTACTACTTATTTTGCAAATTGTGAGAAATCTTGAATTTTGAGAAATCAGGATTTATCAAGAATCAAAAAATATTTCGTATTTTAGCAAGTCCATCTAGGGACCATATTGTCTCATTAGGCAGTAAATCATATTTTCTGCAGTTGAATTCAGGATTTGTTCTAGATGTTACCTAAGCGTGGCTTCAGAATTATTCTACCTTTAACTCACCTGATTCTCTTGCTCTTTTAAATCAGGGAAGGAGCTGCTGTGTTTTGGAATGTGAAAGATAAAACTGTAAGTATAAGTGAAGTGTGAAAGTATAAAAATACAGTTTTGTAAGAATAAATTGTTTATTAGCACTTAATAATTTGAGATTTTGGAAGATAAATTAATAGGCAATCCACAGCTTATTTGTACAGCATTATGTGATATTTATCTCATCAGTTTCATCTTCTAAAATGCATATTTTGGTTTATTTTTAAGTTTTATACATTTCTATTTTCTGGGCACACACTCATTTGTGGAGAATCCCAGCCACCCCTGTCAAACTGCAGGAAGAAAGAATTGCATTTACATGTGATAGTGCAGAGTGTGATTAATGCACATACAGTTTATTGGAAACTGGTTAAACTGATTCTTATTTTAGATAAAATTTTCAAGAACTTATCACTCATGGAAAATAATTTCTTCAGTATCTATATTAGGATTTATTTAATGTAACCTTTTTAGAGGCAGCTTTGTGATGTACATCAAAGATTTATATTTAACTCAGCAATTTTATACCCAGAAAGTTACCCAAAAGAAATAATCACAATTATGCATGATGAATTACATAATGTTCATTAAACCATTTTTTATAATAGCAAAGATTATAAATAACGAAAACACATAATAATAGAAAGTTTGCTAAGTACAGTTATAGGATAAAATATACTACAGCTCTTAAAAATCATGTGGAATAATATCTATTCCCAGGAAACTGCTTATGTATGTGATACAGTTAAATTAAAAGAGCAAATTACAACCTGGGTGCAGTGGCTCATGCCTGTAATCCCAGTGATTCAGGAGGCTGAGGCAGGAGGATCGTGAGTTCAAAGCCAGCCTCAGCAACTTAGTGAGGCCCTAAGCAACTCATTGAGACCCTGTCTCTAAATAAAAAATAAAATGGTTGGGGATGTTGCTTAGTAGTTAAGAACCCCTGGATTTAATTCCTGGTACCAAAAAAAGAGCAAATTAGAAAATATAACCAGCATAACATCATCTCTAATCCCAGTGGCTCAGGAGGCTAAGACAGGAGGATCCCAAGTTCAAAGCCAGTCTCAGCAATAGCGAGGCACTAAGCAACTCAGTGAGACCCTGTCTCTATATAAAATACAGAATAGGGCTGGGGATGTAGCTTGGTGGCCGAGAGCCCCTGGATTCAATCCCTGATATATGCCACCACGCCCTTCAGCTGGGTTCAGTGATATATGCCAATAATCCCAGCTATTTGAGAGGCTGAGAAAAGAGGATTGCAAGTTTGAGGCCAACCTCAGCAACTTGGCAAGACCCTTACAACATAGATCCTAGATTTAATCCTCAGTACAAAAAAAATAAGTATGCTTCCTACAATCTCAGTTTTGCTAAAAGGAAATAGATACCTGCTCAGTAGAGGAGGAATTCTGGGGAACAGGAAATGTGCATGACCACCAAATATAATAAAGTATAAATTGATCATCTGAAGTTACAAAAAATATAACACCACTCTGTGGTTTTTGAGTGCTCTCATAAATGTTTGAATTCTAAAATTGGAAGAACTGTTTTGGAGAGCAGGTTAGCAATATTTATCAAAGATATAAGCAGGCATATCTTTTCTTTCTTTCTTTTTTTTTTACAATGCTGGGGATGAAATTCAGAACCTCACACTTGCTAAGCAAGTACACTCTCCCTGAGCAACACCCTCAGCCTGCATGTCTTTTGATCAGCAGTTTCTAAAGAAATAGGCCACAAAGATTTATGCATAATAATGGTGAATGGAGACATTATAATGGTGGAGAGCAGAAATTATACCCCACAGATGGACATTTAATGTGGTTAAATAAATTGCAGTGCCTCCATTACGGAGAACAGCATTGCAAATGTTCATATGCATAGTTATCCCATTTCATGCAGAAAGCAAAATATACACAGACCTCACAGAAAAAAAATGTGTATAGGATATACCCCAAGTTTAATCATGGTTACCTCTGAGAATTATGATTCCAGGTGACAGAGAGAGATGGCCACTTTCTATACCTTTATGTTCCTTAAATTTTTACAAGTGTTTGCCTATACAATTTTTTTAGAAATTAAATAAATAAAAATCATAATGTTACCAGTGATTCTTTGGGATGTGGGATAACAACTTTATTTTCTTCCTTATGCTTATCTGTATTTTCCAAAAATGAAAATAAATGAACATGTCATCCTGATTAGCTTACTAGGTTAATAACATAGTGAGTTTGCCTTTTCCTTAAGAACTAAGCAGTAGAAAACAAACTATTCATTGTTACAAACATTAACCCCAGAGCACATTTGTACTTAGGGAGCCAGTTATAATTCCAGGTAATGTTCTTTTTCTTCTAGATGAAGCATGTAATGCAAGTTCTGGAGAAACATGAAATTCGGCCTTATGAGATTGCATTGGTACACTGGGAAAATGAAGAGCTTAACTACATAAAAATAGAGTAAGCAACTTTTTATCAAAGTTATGAAAAGGGTACTTGGGAACAAAACTAGGCAAAGTAGTAGGGAAGATAAATTATTTATGAATATGGAGACTAATGTTAAGAAAGAAGTTGTTGGTACAAATACAAAGCCTAAACTATATAATAAATATTAGTGGAAATAATATGCCTTTATCAGAATAACCCTATCATATTATTCCAGTAAAAAGTAAAGCCATTTTTTCCTGAATTGATTTTGAGCATAAAAAGGAAATGAGATAAGGGGTGATCTAAGAGAACCATTTGTAGACATGTGGGGGACTGCAGGAAGTGGGAGCCCAACATACAGTCTCCAGTAAGATATGAGTGGCAATAGCCTCACTGATTTTCCTGTCTCAGCAAGGGCAAAATGAGATGTTGGGGCAGGATAAATAGGATAGGAGACTCTTTCCTGGTGGTGTCACCAGTCTAGTGGAATCCGGGGGAGGAAAAGTCTTTGTAGGTTCTTAAGGAAGTAAGTATTGATGGCAGAGCTTGAGGAAAATTTAGAAGAGACACTAGCTACAGAAAGCAGATAAGCACTAAGTAATAATGGCCAGCAATAATGAAGTACTCACCACATGCCAGTCACTGTTTTCCAAGTACTTCCCATGCCTCACTTCATTTCAGAAACTCTGTAATTGCAGTTAACTGGCTTTCAAATGGAGTTCAGAGTGCTCTCTGGCCTATGGGCACCTGCCTAATAAATGGGAGCCTGGGCCTACAGCGTCTGCTCTTGAGTGAAGGTATCAACCAAAGAGACACGCAAATGAGGAGCTATTCAGTTTTATTAATTTTATTTTTAAGCCCTCATTCTTGTGGTTATTGTTCCTGTGAATGTCCCTTCTTTTGGGAAATCAGAGAAATGCCATTGCTTGCTGGGCACTTGTATGTGCCTGGACACACAAATACACACACACACTCTTAAGAGTTGTGGAGGAATGAAATCCTTAACTGTTTGAATCTGAGTCAGCTATCTGATTTTATCACAAAAACCACTTTAGCCAGGCGTGGTGGCACATGCCTATAATCAATCCCAGTGACTCAGGAAGCTGAGACTGGGGGGTCGAAAATTCCAGCCTCAGCAATTTATCGAGGACCTGATAAGCAACTTAGTGAGACGCTGTCTCAAAAAAAATAAAAAGGGCTGGGAATGGGATTCAGTAGTAAAGCACCCCTGTATTAAATCCCTGGTACAAAAAAAAAAAAAAAGACCACGCTAGCTGTGTCACATGTGGGTCCTGCCTAGGGACAGCTATCTACTGCCTCCTTCGGTTCTGTGGTGTGGTCCAGGCTCGTTCATAAAACCCTTGCTCACTGCTCCCTTTCCTCTTTTCCCTCTGGCTGAGGTGGTCAGCAGATTCTGCCCTCAGCCTTCCCATTAGTCCCCAGTCCACCTTCCTTCATCTGTGTCTTCATGTCCCACACCTTTTGTGAAGGGTCCCCTGTACTTTCCCCATTTCCTTGTAATGTTTATATTCACAAACTCCCTCCCTCTGCTCTCCCAGTCCCTTCCAGAAAGATCTTCAGGTAAACCCTAGTTTTTTATAACTTCTGCCTCCCTTGCCTTCCCCGTCATGTAACTCCAATGTGTGGAGTTTTACATTCAGCATCTTTTCACTTAGCAATTACTGTGGACATTTTCCCTTTATATTAAGTATTCTTTCATAACATGTTGGAGTTTTTGTTTTTTATTTCTGTCTTTGAGATGGGGTTTTGCTATATCGCTGAGGCCGGCCTCCACTCTAGCTCTTGGGTTCAGGTGATTCTCCTTGTCTAAGTTTCCTGAGTGTTGGCACTATAGGCTCCCACCACCACATCTGGCTCCTTTTAATTTTTGTTTCGTGAAATTACTATTGAACGTTTGGTTTCTTTTCTGATTTTTTACTATTAAAGTAAAAACGTTTTGTACACAGATTTTTTTTTACATTTTTTATTGTTTCCATACAATAAATTCTTAGAGATAAAATAACTTGGAAATAGTTTAGAGCATTTATAAAAACTCTTGATACAAATTAACAAAATGACCCCCAGAAAGGTGATTTTTTTCAAAACAAAAACTTTAAACTGTGTTTGAGATTTGGAAGATTCCTGGGTATGGGAGTTCTAGCTACTTGGGAGGCAGAGGCAAGAAGACTGACTGACCTCCACCATTCAAGACCAGCCAGGGCAACATAGTGAGACCCCCATCTCAAGAATAAAGGGTTTGTAAGTTACTTTCTTCACCATCCCCACCCTCCTTCCACAGAGGTCAGTCTAAACTTCACAGAGGGGAAATCAATTTAAATTCGGAGCTGGATTTAGATGATGCCATTCTAGAGAAGTTTGCTTTCTCCAATGCCCTTTGTCTTTCAGGTAAGTTACTGCTGCTGTTTGCAGAATGCATTACACAGTTTTCATTTCATCAAGGAGGAGTTTATTTGGTGAACATTTTGGCATGTTTTCACTCTACAAAGCTTTAGTATCCTTTTTTTTTTCCTCCATAAAATAAATACAGTAGAAAGTTTAAAAGGTAGTGTCTGTACTATTACTCATTCCTTGTTAATTGTATTGATAAACCTTACTTTCTCCACAAATGTTTTTTATGTGATTATCACTGCCTTTGATTCCTCTCCCCTTCTGTCTGTATGATCATGATACTTGGGTACCTCTGATCCAGGCAGAGAAAGCCTGGCCCGTGTGACTGGGCACAGGCCTCAGTGGAAAACCACACTCCCAGGTTCCACAGGAATGGGCCAGAGTCACAGCTACTCTAAGTTTTTCCTGAAAGATCCATGCCCCTGATAATACCGTAGAAGTTCTGTAAGAATTTCCTTTGCCTCTAGTGTGCATGAGGCAGCTGCTGCAGCAGCCCCTCCGCACCCTTCTGGGAAGCTTCAGAGACCTCTGTGCTTTCCTCATAGCCCTGAGGATTGTAAAGGAAGACCAGCGAAGGCCCGCTCCAGCCCTGTGCACAGAGCTACTCGGGGTGTCAAGGGGTGCCGCACACCTTCTGGGCTTCTGAGAAGTGGTATTAGAAAATCTGGAATTCTACTGGACTGCTAGACTAGCTTTGGTCTGTCCACAGGGCCTAGAAATCTTGAGTTTCCTGTTCTACGTTAGTGCTACCCTTTGCCATAACTAACCATCCTTAATTTTTAGTTTCAATTTTTAGCACATTTGCTTCTTCTACTTTTAATGTTCGAATGGCAGCAAAAGTACTGTACAGTTATGGATTTTATATAAGCATGAATAATATTATAAAGAAATTTTCCATGTTTTTCCCCCCAGTGAAACTGGCTATTTGGGAAGTGACACTGGATAAATTTATTGAGTCTATTCAGTCTATTCCAGAGGTAATTATATCAAGTTTATGCTTATTTTGAAGGATTGATTCCTAATTGAGAATAATACAAACTTCCTATATGTATAATAAAGTAAAAAAATGCACTAGGAATGGGGCTGGGGTTGTGGCTCAGTGGTAGAGCGTTCACCTAGCACATGTGAGGCCCTGGGTTCGATCCTCAGCACCACATAAAAAAATAAATAAAATTAAGGTATTGTGTCCAACAACAACTGGAAAATAAATATTTTTTAAAAATGCACTAGGAAAGCTACACAGAATTTAGGCAAAAGACAAACCAGGCTAGGGATGTGGCTCACTGGTAGAGTGCTTGCCTAGCATGCTTGAAAACTTGGGTCCAATCTTCAGACACACACACAAAACCAACTTCCAAATACATATAAAATGGTGAACTTTCATGTGTTGATTTTTTTTAAACTTCAAATGACTGTGATGGCACAATATTTTTAATATAACTGAATAAAAGTTATATATATATATAATTTTTTTTTAATCAACTGAATAAAAATATAACTGTGCTGGAGTGGTAGAGCATTTGCCTAGCATGCTAAGAGGCCCTCGATTTGATGCCCAGTTCTACAAAAAAGGAAAATGAAATCTTTCTAAGGAAGGAGATTATCACTTTTTTGTGATTAAAAAAAGACTACTAAATTTTGAGAAATATAGTAGCATAAAAGATAAGTTATTTTTAAAATATGGTTATAAATGTATAAAGTTATATTAAAAATGTCAAAGTGCATTAAAAGTCATTTTTACTAATGTTTTTACGGTGACACAATAATTACTCTTGGAAAAAAAGGCCCTGTTTTTATGATAAGATTAGGAATGTATATCATGGAAGTGCTGATACAAAGGGTATTTTAGCTTTCTATTACTGTAACAAGATATCTAAGATGATCAGCTTATAAAGAAGAAAGGTTTATATTGGCTCACAGTTTGGAGCATACTCAGTGCTGGTGCAATTTTTGTCCATAGTTGGACAAATCCATTGCTTTTAGATGTGTGGCAAAAAAGCATCTCATGGTAGGGAGCCTGTGGGAGAGCAAGCTATTCGCCTCTTTGTAGCCAGGAAGCAAAGAGAAAGTCTGGAATTCTACCAGAGTGCTAGACTAGCTTTGGTCTGTCAACAGGGCCTAGAAATCTTGAGTTTCCTATTTCTACGTTAGTGCTACCTTTGCCATAACTAACTCTCCTTAACTAACTATCCTCTTTGCCCTAAGGTAAAATTTTCTTTTGTAAATATAACATCTCATATGCTTAATAATATCAAGAAAACATTCCTGTATATTAAAGAGAAAACATTTAAGCCGAACATGGTGTCACATTCCTGTATATTAAAGAGAAAACATTTAAGCCGAGCATTTTGCCCTTCGAGGGTACACCCCAGTTACCTAGCTCCTGCCCACTAGGCCCCACCTCATAACGCTTCCACCTTTTCCCAGTAACACCACAGGATAAGGACCAAATCCTCAGACACATGGCCTTTGGGGGACTTTTAGGACCAAACTAGCCAGGCATGATGGTACATACCTGTAATCCCAGTGGTTTAGGAGGCCAAGACAAGAGGATGGCAAGTTTGAGGCCAACCTCTGCAACTTAGTGAGATCCTACTTCAAAATGAAAAAGGCAGGAGATATAGTTCATGGTAAAGTGCCCCTGAGTTCAATTCCCAGTACTGGATTAAAAAAAAGAAAGAAAATAAACTATAGCAAAGGAAAATTTTAAAAAGCATAAAATTTCTACTTAATAAGATTTTGAAATCTTGGGGTGAGTGTAGATGTCTATTTGGGAGACTGACATATAAGAGTTATGTATGTAAGTTTAAAATTTTGCTCCTTTAGAATTTGCTTGATGAATCTAATACTTACTAGAATCCTTCAGTATCCATGGGGGATTAGTTCGAGGGCCCAACCCCTACCCCCAATATACCAAAAACTATGGATGCTTATCTTTATGTAAAATGGCATAGTATTTCCATATAACCCATGCATGTTCTCCTGTATATTTTAAATCATCTGTAGATTATTTATAATACCTAATACAATATAAATGCTGTGTAAATAGTTGTAATATACTGTGCCATTTAGGGAACAGTGACAAGGAAAAATCGTCCGCATACTCAGTGCTGGTGCAATTTTTAAAAATACTCTATTCTTTGTTAGTTGAATCCACAGGTGAAGAACCCACAGAAAAAGGGCTGACTGTGTACGTTTTCCCCCCTCCCAAATAGGCTTTAAAAGCTGGCAAGAAAGTGAAACTGTCTCATAAAGAAGTTATGCAGAAAATGGGTGAACTCTTTGCCCTAAGGTAAAATTTTCTTTTTGTAAATATAACATTTCATATGCTTAAAATATCAAGAAAACATTCCTGTATATTAAAGAGAAAACATTTAAGCCAGTCATGGTGTCACACGCCTGTAATCCCAGTGGCTCAGGAGGATGAGGCAGGAGGATCACAAGTTCAAAGCCAGCCTCAGCAAAAGCGAGGCACTAAGCAACTCAGTGAGACCCTGTCTCTAAATAAAATAAAAAATGGGGCTGGGGGTGTGGCTCAGTGGTCAAGTGCCCCTGAGTTCAATCCTTAGTATCAAAAACAGAGAGAGAGAGAGAGAAATTTGCCTTGATGGGAATTACAGCTATTTTTCTTTCACTGATTACTAGCATGGAGAACTCTTACCCATGAGAACCAAGCAGGCTGTATTAGGACTATACTGGAGGATAATCAGCATGTATAAGAGATTTTAATTGGTCTACATTAAACCATATCAAGGGCACAATAGATGCTCTTTGAAGGTAGGAAGATTCAGTCTAGAATTTGGTTAATGGGAATTCTCAGTAAAAATATATCACTGCATCATGTTGCTAAATCACTTAATTGCTACTGAAAAGTTATATACCATATTTCATTGAATTTCAGTCACTATAAAATGCCATAGACAAGGAAAACCCTGCCACTTAAACTATAATAATGCTTTTTTATGTTTATATTTATTTCATACTGAAATGAAAAATTCAGGAGATATAAATGGATCCAGAATTCAGGAGATACACCACTTTTAGCCGAATTGTGGCTCAGTGGTAGAGCACTTGCCTAGCATGTGTGAAGCACTGGGTTTGATCCCTGGCCCCACATAAAAATAAAAATAAAGGTATTGTGTCCATCTACAACTAAGAAGAATTTAAAAAGATATATAACTTTCTTCCTCCATGAAAACAGAGTTATCTAGTTATAGAATTGTAGTAACCTAAGAGAATGATGGAATTTGTCTACATATTGAATCATTGCCACATCATGTTTTCATACACCTTTAGTGGTTAGGTAAAGAACTGGAAAAGAATGGCTGCCTTTTATTGTTTTTCTGTCTGTAAGAAAAAGTTTTCTATTTTGGCATTTTTTTCATTTTTGTGTATGACAGTAGAATGTATTTTGGCAGAATATGCACATATAGAGTATAACTAATTCCATTTAGGTTCCCGCTCTTGTGGTCATACCTGGTGTGGAATTACCCTGGTTTTTTATACAAATACAAGGTTAGGAAAGTTATGACCAATGAATTCCATTGTTTCCTATTCCCCCCTCCGTCCCTTCCCTTTGTCTAATCCAGTGGACTTTTATTATCCCCACCACCCTCCCTTGTTGTGGGTTAGCATCCACAAGTCAGACCATTTGGCCTTTGGTTCTTTGGGATTGGTTTATTTCACTTAGCATGATATTCTCCGGTTCCATACATTTACCGGTAAATGCTATAATTTCATTCTTTATGTCGAGTAATATTCCGTTGGGTGTATATAACACATTTTCTTTATCCATTCATCTATTGAAGGATACCTAGGTTGTTTCCATAGCTTGGCTCCTGTGAGTTGAGTTGCTATAAACATTGATGTGACTGCGTCACTACAGTCGGATGATTTTAAGACCTTTGGATATACCGAGGAGTGGGATAACAGGGTCAAATGGTGGTTCCATTCCAAGTTTTCTAAGGAATCTCCATACTGCTTTCCATAGTGGTTGCACCAATTTGCAGTCCCACCAACAATGTATGAGAGTACCTTTCTCCCCACATCCTCACCAACGTATACTGTTACTTGTATTCTTTATAACTGCCATTCCGACTGGAGTGAGATGGAATCTCAAGTGTAGTTTTAATTTACATCAACATTATAAAAATGGCCCTAATACCAAAAGTACTATACAGATTTAATGCAATTCCTATAAAGATCCCAATGACGTTCTTCACAAAAATAGAAAAAACAATCATGAAGTTCATTTGGGAAAAGAGGCCCAGAATAGCCAGAGCAATCCTTAGCAAGAAAAGCAATGCAGGAGGCATCACAATACCAGACCTTAAATTATACTACAGAGCATGGCATTGGCACCAAAACAGACATGAAGACCAATAAAAGACACACAGACACACCCCCATAAATACAGTTATCTCATCTCAGACACAGGCACTATAACCGCACATTGGAGAAAAGATAGCCTTTCAACAAATGGTGCTGGGAAAACTGGAAATCCATATGTAATAGAATGAAATTGAACCCCTATCTCTCACCCTGCACAAAACTCAACTCTAAGTGGATCAAGGACCTAGGCATTAGACCAGAGACCCCTGCAGTTACTAGAAGAAAAAGTAGGCCAACTCGCCAGCATGTCAGCTTGGGAACCAAATTCCTCAACAAGACTCCCTAAGGCTCAAGAACCAGTAAATGGAATGGTATCAAACTGAAAAGCTGCTTCACAGCAAAGGAAGCAATCAAGAACATGTACAGAGATCCTGTAGAATGGGAGAACATCTGCCCCGCCAGTACCACAGATAAGGCATAATTTCCAGGATATATAAAGAACTCAAAACTCTTAACACCAAAAAATTAATAACCCAATCAATAAATAGGCAAAGGAACTGAACAAACATTTCACAGAAGAAATATGAATGGTCAAAAAGTATGAAAAAAATGTTCAACATATCTAGCAATTATAATAATGTGTTTTAATCTTAGAATTTAGATTTTACATACATAGCCCTTTAGTCTTAATTTTTATGGATTCCCTCTTAAACATGCAGAAAGGAAGCTATTGGAAATAGTTCAAGGTAATGACAAATAAGTCACAACTGTCACATTTTAACAGACCCATCAATAATTTTTAAGATACCTCCCATATTTACAGATGTTAAATGGAAAGGACTGTGACCTAAAATTTATGAAATACAGTAATGCACATTGTAAATAAATGTCTGGCAATGTTTTTAGTTTAATTTTTTGTATTAGGGATTGATGTCAATGGTGCTTTACCACTGAGCTACACCCCCAGCCCTTTTTGAGACAGGGTCTCACTAAGTTGCTTGGGGCCTTGCTAAGTTGTTGAGGCTGGCCTCAAACTTGTGATCCTCCTGCCTCAGCCTCCTGAGTCGCTGAGATTACTGGCATACACCACCACACCTGGCTTCAGTTTGTTTTATTCTTATAATTGTCCAAGGATTTATGGGATAAAACATCCTGGATATTGCTTTTTGTCTCACTGGGCAGTATTATCCAGTTTTATTCCTTCTAATGTATTGAATTACCAGAGCTCCTTGTAAATGTTTACCCTAGGCTGCTGCTGCTGCTTAGATATTCTGCCTGGAGAGAAGCAGTTCAGTGTTTCATCATCCATGCATTTCTCATAGTTTAGGGACCCTAACTCAAGGTCATTCTTTAGGAGCAATCCCATGGCAGAAGTGGAAAAGCTGCATTCTTCTCTCTTGTTCTCTTAGTAATGCAGGCAGAAGCTGATGCTGCAAATTATAATATCAGACCTCAAAAGTAGCTGAGTGAGGTGGTGCACACCTATAATCCCAGCTACTTAGGAGGCTGAGGGAGGAGAATAACAAGTTGGAGGCCAGGCTGGGCAACTTAGCAAATAAAATAAAAAGGCCTAGCTATATAGTTCAGTGGTAGAGTGCTTATCTATAATGGATAAAGAGCTTGGTTCAATCTGCAGTCCCACAAAATAAATAAGTAAAGCCTCAAAAGTTAGAACTAAATATACTTAGATTTGTAAGTTTCTATAAGGCTTCCAGATGGGCACATACCTTTATTTTTTATTTATTTTCATGTAGTGCTGAGGATCCAACCCAGTGTCTCACACATGCTAGGCGAGCACTCTACCACTGAGGTCCATCCCCAGCACTATAAGGCTGACTTTTCTATCCAAAGTTTCCTTATTCTTAAAATAAAAGTGCATGTGTGTTAATAAAGGAAGGTGATGAATCTGAAAAGAAACATGGCAAGGTATATTGGGTGAAGTCACAACAGAAAAAAATCATTCACATTTAGTTTGATAGCATGTATGCTCAGGGAGCATCTATAAGGCCACATTGAAGTGTTCACAGGGCCTGTCATTGGAGAGAATAAAGGATTTGAGTCATGTATTTACTAGGGTTTACCACTATTTTTCTCAACTCCTGTCTAGGATATTTTCTTTTTTATAGTAAGCAACTATTTATGTGTAACTTTTACAACTTAAATCTTCACTTATTTAAAATTTTTTAAGTAAACTTAGACCTCTATACAAAACAGAAACTGAGAGGGAGAGAAAGAATGGATGTGTGAGTCTGCTTGTCCAGTGTTTGCATAATCACTGGAAGGATGCAGAGGAAACGGGCCACCATAGGAAGTGGGAGGAGAGGAGAGCTGAAGGTAAGAATGGGAGAAAGCTGTGTGGTGGCCACACTGTAATCCCGCTCCTGAGGAGTCTGAGGCAGGAAGATTGCAAATTTACTACCAGCCTGGGCAACTTAACCAGACCTCATCTCAAAAATAAAAAATTTTAAAAAGGGATGGGTGTGGCTAAGTGGTAAAATGAGGCCCAAGGTTCAGTCACCCCCACACCCACAATTAAGAGTACTATTTGTCAATTTTACCTATACATATAAATGTATATACACATTTTTTTTTCTTTTTGGTACTGTGGATTGAACCCAGGGGCCCTTAACCACTGAGCAACATCCCCAGGCTTTTGGTTGTTGTTGTTGTTGTTAAGAGAGATTCTTGTTAAGTTACTCAAGATCTTGCTAAATTACTATACTCAGGGACTCACTAAATTGCTGAGGATGGCTTTTTTGGGGGTGGGGTACTGGGGATGGAACTCGGGGGCACTTGACCACTGAGCCACATCCCCAGCCCTCTTTGTATTTTATTTAGAGACAGGGTCTCACTGAGTTGCTTAGTGCCTCGCTTTTGTTGAGGCTGGCTTTGAACTCTTGATCCTCCTGCCTCAGCCTCCCAAGCTGCTAGGATTATGTGTGTGCCCATCCCAGCTGAAGATGGCTTTGAACTTTCGATGCTCCTGCCTCAGCCTCCCAAATTGCTGGGATGACAGGCTTATACCTGTATATATTTTTAAAATTCTGAACTTTGTATTACCTATCCCTCCCAAATATGTGTGTGTATATTATAAGCTTTTTGTAATGAAAAAGAAACAACTTTAGAAATTGAAAACAGAATGTAATTAAAGACTGGATTAATTTGGTTGAGAATTTTAAAATTTTTTTCAGTGTTTAGATTTAAGTTACAAGTATTTTGCAAATGTCAGCACTTTAAAATGTTCTCATATAGCACAATATAAGTCTGAAATAGAAACACTGATTTTTAATTCAAGATAAAAAGATTATGATTTTCCTTTTTTTAAGGCACCGTATAAACTTGAGTTCAGACTTCCTGATCACTCCTGATTTCTACTGGGACAGGGAAAACTTGGAGGAACTTTATGATAAAACTTGTCAATTCCTTAGCATTACTCGAAGAGTTAAGGTATGTACTTTGCACTTTTGTTAAGAGAAAAAATGTTGTTGACTACAATTTGCATGACTATGGCACTTAAATTAAGTGAACATGGTAACTGTTTTCAGGGATATATCTTCTTTAACTTCTGTTCAGATCTCTTCAAATGGCCCTTTTGTCCTCTTTACACTCACATTTCAACTTTTTGAGTCAGGATCTTCTGATATTTGCTTCAAAGATGAGATTTGTAGGAGTTTGAAGGCCTAACAGTGCATTAGGAAATTCTTGTCATGTTTAAGCAAGAGTTTGGGGAGTCCTGAATTATTATGGAGACACTGAAAACAGAAATAAACTTAAGGGAAAATCCTGTATGATGAATCAAGCGACTGACAATCGCAGGCCAGGGAGGACAAAAGTTGACTAATATTTGTCTGCAGGTGACAGACAGAAAGGTGGCCAAACAAAGAAGAATCAGGGGAAGGGTAATAAACTGAATTTAAGAAGTGCTGAGATTCGATAAGAATAAGTTACCCAAAGAAAACTCTCTCTGAGGTACTTAGAAGAGTGGAGGTAAAATGGAGAGGAGAAGGGCTGGGGTGGGGCGGGGGCTTGGTGGTGGAGCTCTTGCCTAGCCCATGTGAGGCTCTGGGTTCGGTCCTCAGCACCACATAGAAATAAGTCTTGTGTCCATCCACAACTAAAAAATATTCAAAAAAAAAGGTGCCTGGAGAGGAAAAGCATCCTTCTCAAGGCCGTTGTGGAGGTGGAAGCCGTGGAGTGTACTACATGGCAAAAGAGCGGAGCAAACAGAAAGTGGTGGTGCTACAGGTGCAGAGTTCTATGACACTGTGTCACACATGTCAATCCGTGTAGCCACAGGATCAAAATGCTTCACATCTCCCTCAGGCACCCCTTCATACCCACACCAGCCTCCACCCCCCAGCTTCACCAGCTTCACCGCCTGACAGTACTAATCTGTTCTCCATCTCCATATTTTTATTATAAGTAGAATCAGTGTGTAACTTTTAAAATCAGCTTTTTTCACTGACCAGCATGTACTGCCTTTGAGAGCCTTCCATATTGTTGGGTATATCAATTCTGACTTCCTGAGGATTGCTGAGACTTTTAAAAGTTTTGTTTTATTGATGTTGTTTTGAGCATATCTCCTCCCACAGATATTCAGTGGCTATTGTGGTCATTATACAGACAGCACAGTCTTCTGTTTCCACATTTTACCAGATCAAATGAAGCATATAAACTTTACTTCCCACTACATCCCTCTTTCCCGTATTTGTAAATCTTAACTATTCTTTTTCCCATTTTTTTTCTATAGATATTAAGAACTTAATCAGATAGTGTTATCATTTTTGCTTCAACCATCAAATGTAATTTTAGAAAACTCAGAAGAAAAGTTTGTTGTATTACCCATATTCTTATCTTTCTGTTCTTTCCCTTCCTTCTTATGTCCATGATTTCTTCATTTATTATTTTCTTCCTTTTCAAGAATTTTCTTTACCTGTAATCCCAGCGGCTTAGGAGGCTGAGGCAATAAGATCGAGAGTTCAAAGCCAGCCTCAGCAAAAGCAAGGCACAAGCAATTCAGTGAGACCCTGTCTCTAAATAAAATACAAAATAGGGCTGGGGATGTGGCTCAGTGGTTGAGTGCCCCTGAGTTCAATCCCCGGTACCAAAAAAAAAAAAAAAGAGAGAGAGAAAGAATTTTCTTTAGCCACTTTTTAAAGATAAGTCTGCTGATACACATTTGCTTAGTTTTTCCATCCCCTCCATTAATTTTCCCTCCACTCCTGAAAGATCTTTTCACAAGGTACAGGATTTGGGGTTGATAATTCTTTTCTTACACCTGAAAAATGCTGGGCTACTTCCCCCTGGCCTCCCTGGCTGCTGACAGGAAATCTGCTGTCATTCTACAACTTGCACCTTAGATCTTTTATTATAGTCCAAGTCTTTTGAAGCTCTGTTCATTTTTTCCGGTGTATTTTTCTCTCTGTCGTGCGGGTGGGGTAGTTTCTGTTGTTCCACCTGCAGGTTCACCCCTTCTTTCTTCTGTCATATTCATTTTCCTATTGAGGATGAATTTTTTATTTCATTGTGTTTCACTTTCAGTTCTAAAATTTCTGTTTCTTCTTGACATCTTCTGTTTCTCTACTGAGAGTGTCTGTTAACTGACTTTTTTCATTCCCTCCAAATAATTTTAATACTTCCAGTTTCCTTCATTCCCACAAGTGTTTATATTCTGTGGGTTTTGCTTGATATGCAAGGTCCTCACTACTCTATTCCTTTTTCAGTCTTGTTTCCAATCACTCCCTACATTCACCTTGGTGTTCCATCAAAAAGTAATGACTTGTTGGGCATGGTTGTGCACACCTGTAATCCCAGTGCCTTGGGAAGCTGAGGCAGGAGAATCACAAGTTCAAGACCAGCCTTAACAACTTAGTGAGATCCTATCTGAAGATAGTTTAAAGGGAGCGGGCTGGAGATGTGACTCAGTAGTTAAGCATCCCTGGGTTCAATCCTCAGCACCAAAAAAAAAAAGAAGAAAGAAAGAAATTACTTAGCTGGACATAGTAGCTCAATCTTATCATCCCAGCTACTTGGGAGACTAGGGCAGAAGGATGACAAATTCAAAGCCAGCCTCCACAATGACACCTTGTGTCAAAATATTTTTTTAAAGGCTCAGTGCCACTGCGTTGAGGGAAGCATATGCTTTCCTTATATTTTTCAAAGTGCCCAACATCCTACAGAGTAGACATCAAAAGAGTGGTCAGATAAGTGAAAGGTAGCCTTAAAGTGCCTGTTTTACCGCCCTCACCACTAGCAAGTTAGTTGTTCATTACCCAGTCTCACTCAGGCATCTCTCTGGTGTTAAATCTTCCACTTGAGTTAGGAAGCATTCCTGTAAGTTCTCAAACTACATTTTCTCTTAAGTATTTTCTTGGCATCCCCACAAACAATCAAGACTAGTTGAATAGTGTGTAAGATTTAAAAGTGACTTGTGTTAGTCACCTTTCGATCACTTTAACAGAAATACCTGATAATGAACTTACAAGGAACACAGGTTTATTTTGGCTCACAGTGTGGGAGGTTTCAGTCCTTGATCGATTGGCCCACTGTTACAGGCCTGTAATGAAGCAGCACACCATAGTGGGAGCATGTGGCAGAGCAAACCACTTACATCACAAGCTAGGAAGTGCTGTGGTTTAGATATGAGGTATCCCCCACAAACTCATGTGTGAGACCATGCAAGAAAGCTTCAGAGGTGAAACGACCAGGTTGAGAGAGACAACCTAATCACTGCGTCAATCCACTGATAGGGATTTACTGGGTGGTGACTGTAGGCAGGTCGAGTATGGCTAGAGGAGCTGGGTTGATGGGTGCATGCATGCGGGGGGGTGGGGGTGGGGGGTGGTGTATATTTTGTCCTTCTTGAGTGGAGCTCTCTCTACTCCTGAGTTGCTTTCCTCTGCCACGCCCTTCTTAAGTGATGTTCTGCCTCACCTCTGGCCCAAAGTGGAACTGGCTATCTGTGAACTGAGACTTCCGAAACTGAGCACCAAATACATTTTTTCTCTTCCAATTGTTCTTGTCAGGTCTTTTGGCCACAGTGGGTGAAAAAGCTGACTAAAACAGGAAGCATACTCCTGGTGACCTAAAGATCTTCTATTAAGCTCCACCTCTTAATGGTTCTACCATTTCCCAATAACTCCACCTGGAGATTAACCCTTTAACACAATGGCCTTTTGGGGACAGCTCAACATTCTGTTGGCACCACAGCTAAATCAAAAGAAGAATGAATTTGGTTCTGGCCTTCAACAAGCCATTTGGTCTTTCAAGAAGACTAGGGGAAAGCTGGTCTTTATTTTTGTTTTTTCCCCCAAGATAAGTCTTGGGGAAATCAGGAGATGGGGCAAAAGACGTGCTGAAAAGCAGTCAAAAAACTTGAGGGCAGAGGTCAGGTCATTTCATTTGGTAATTGGATCACTGGAAAAAAATCTTCAGAGAGCAGTTAGAGCACTGTGGGGGAGGGGTACAGAAACCAGTTTGCAGCCAGTGCCATGTGCCATTTTATCAAATTGGTGTCCCTGTCACAGATCGTTCTCGTGCTACCTGCTCCATGAGCACTCCTTTTCATGACTTATACTCCACCTTTTCTTGTTAATTTTCAGGTATAATCCTAATCCCTCGTCTACCAAGTATTGCCCAGTTGATTCCCAAATCTCACAGACCCCTTCCACATTTACATATCTTATAGCTTTCCTTCTAAATACATGTGCCATTTCTACTGGAATGTGAGCTTCTTGAGATCAGAGACTATGATTATTTGCTTCCCAGTTTTGGCAAAGCTGCCACATACAGTAGGTTCTTGAATTTGTAGAATAGATCAGTATTGACATTTCAAAGTGAAACTCATTGTATTCTTCAGAAAAGATTGACCCATTCCTGTTTTCTATTTTAGCTACTGGCAGAACCATCAAGCATCACCATCTAGTCATTCAGTCAGAAAATTAAAGTCATCTGGGAGTCTTCTTTTTGCGTCACCCTCCACTTCTCATCTGTCAGACCATCTCTCCATTCCTAACTAAGTATCAGTCATTCATTGGGAGATATTTATTGAAAGCCTAGGTGATAAGCCCTGGACTAATGAACAACAGATAGGATTGCCATACCGACCCCAGCCTTGAGGTCCCCCCATAGTTAACATGCATCCCTACTGTTGCTTGGCCTCCTCCCTCCCCTGGACTAGTCTAAGACCTTCTGCACCCTCGGTCCAGAAGGCAGAGACATATGGTCTCACTTGCCATTCTGCCTTCTTTCCTGTAGAACAGTGAATCTTAAAACAAGTATTTCAGGATTGGGGAAAAAAAAAAAAAGGACTCTCTTTTAATAAAGCCTAGACATTATAGTGTGGCATGTTTTTTGTTGCTGCTGTAACAAATTACCACAAGCTTACCATTTTACAGTTTTATAGGTAAGAAGCCTGACATAGATCTCACTGGGCTAAAATCAAGGAGTTTGTAGGCCTTTCTTTCTTTCTGGAGGCTGCCTACATCCTGTGTCTCAGCCCCTACTTCAGTCTAGCAAAGGCAAGTTGAGTCTTCCTTGCATTGTATCATTCTGAATTCTTCTATTTCTACACTTAAAAGATCCGGTGATTACATTGGGCTCACCCAGATAACCTAGCCTTACCTGTCTTAAGGTCAGCTGATTAGCAATCTTACAGTCTTGTGATGTTCATAGGTTCTAGCAACAGCTGCAAATATCTATAGGATGGGGGGCATTATTCTACCTATACTACTTGGGTACTCAGTGCCTCTGAGAATATATTTACCTGACTTCCAAGCACGTCTTCCAAGTTATGCACTGTCTAGATATGTTCCCTGTGTGCTGTTTCCTGTTTGAAATAAATGTTCCCTTTCTGCCACCTCCCATTTCTTCCTGGCAACTGCCTGTTGAAGGCCTACTTCACATTGAGCACCCCCATGAAGCCTTCCGTTCTTTCCTTCTTCATTTGCTTACGTGACACAAGTGCCTCTATAGCTAAATGAAATAGGAAGCATGTAGTAGCAGAGACTCTTGATTGCACATTTCAACATGTTGTCAAATGCTTGGGTTAACTGGGTTTTGGAACTAACTTATACTTAATAGGATACTTTTGCAGGTGAGTTATATACAAATCCTAAAGAATTAAATAAGTTGAGTGATGAGGAAGTGGAGGAAGAAGATGTTGTTTATTTAGTCAGAGTTAAAATTAAGGGGTGAGTAGGTAATTTGAAGACAGAAGTAAACTTTAAGGGTGAACATTTTGTAGGCCAAGATGAAACAGTCAACAGAAAAAGGGAGGGAAGAAAGGGAAGGAGGTGGTCAAGTAAAAGGAAGGAAGGAAGGAAGGAAACACTGTTATAAATATTCAGATTAGACATCACAGGTGACCATGAAGTCTATAGAGTGTGGGTGAATGTTATTGTTGTAGTTCACCACTGTAGAATCCATGAACAGGATGCACCAAGAGTTTTTTGTCAATTTTCGCACTATGATTAGTCTCAATCCTCACTGGATAAACTTGCACTTCAGCATACTCCCATGAATGACACCCCCTCCTTTTTTTGGTCACCAGGGATTGAACCCAGGGATACTTAACCACTGAGCCACATCCCCAGCCCTTTTTTGTATTTTATTTAGAGACAGGGTCTCAGTTGCTTAAGGCCTCAGCCTCCAGAGTCGCTGGGATTACAAGTATGCACTACCACGCCTGGCTCAAAACTATTTTGGAAAGTTTGTTCCTAGACTTTCCAGTTTTCAAAACAAAGCACAGAGGGCTGGGGTTGTGGCTCACTGGTAGAGCGCTTACCTGGCACGTGTGAGGCACTGGGTTCGATCCTCAGCACCACATAAAAATAAATAAAGGCATGGTGTCCATCTACAACTAAAAAAACCCCCAAAAAACCAAAAAAGCACAAAGCAGAGATATTAAGCAGGTATATAACTTGCTAGTAGTCAGACAGGTTTTAAATTCAGTATTTTCTGTGAATCCCCAAAACCAGCAGATAAGTCATCATACTACAGAACCTTTGCTGCTCAGAGTAAAAAGTAGCACCAGGTAGTGGTGAGTAGGCAGGACATGTTCGGTGTTGGGTTTTAGTAGAAGGTAACCATTGTTTTTAACATCTTAAGGCCATGCTTTAAAAAAAAAAAAAACAGAAACAAAAACATGTTTTGTCTTTTTTCTTAGTACTGGGGACTGAATCCAGGGCAGCTTCACCACTGAACCACATTGCAGCCCTTTTTTTAAAATTTTGAGACAGGGTCTCAATGTATCAGCCTCCCAAATTGCTGGGATTACAAGGGTGTGCCACCAGGCCCAGCTAAATTTGCCCTTTAAAACTGCTAACCACCTAAGGATGAATGGGCATGCCTGTAATCCCAGGGAATCAGGAGTCTGAGGCAGTATTGCAAATTCAAGGTTAGTCTTGGCAATTCAGTAAGACCCCATATCTCAATAAAATTTTTAAAAGAGCCAGGGATCAACTGAGACAATGTATATCTCCTTTAGAATAGTCATTATGAGACTTTGACCAGCCAGGGTCATCACCTGAAGTAGCCATAGGTGATGGATCTTTACCCCTCATCAACCCTTAAGATTAAGGGATCAAATTCCGGGGTGTTAGGGATTTGGGGTAGGGCTACATAATCTTAAAGAAACACCCACAGGCCATTAAGATAGTTTACAGGCATGCCCTGTAAAATGAAGGATAGTGCAGAAGAAAAACTGGAGTGAAATTCTCCAGCTCCACCCTGTTGCCACCTCTTAGCACTGTCCCTCAATAGCTATTAACACCCCACACCAAAGGGTTGCTCTCCCTCTGGAGACAGTCTGCATTCTCCCTTGTGTTTTGCTTTCTTTGACCACAAAGGCATCTCTATTGAAAATGCTCCCCCACACACACCCCTTTTCCCTTGAATGTGTCTTTCCTTTCCTAAATAAACCTGTCTGTGCCTTTGGAAGAAAAAAAGGGGGTGGGGAGGTGCTGCTGGGGATGTAGCTCAGAAGAATGCTCTCTTTAATCTCCACTACCAAAACTAAAACAACGAAAGGCAGCTACCAAAAACAAAGACTCAGAAACCTCATTTTTTATATCTTCTACCAAAATCTTAGACATAGCCAGGCACACATTAGTAATTCCAGCAACTAGGGAAGCTGAGGCTGGAAAATGGCAAGTTCAAGGCCAGCCTGGGCAATTTAGCAAGAGTCCCCCACATACAAAAAAAGGGGGCTAGGGGATGTGGCTCACTAGTAGAGCACCCTGGGTTCAATCCCCAAGGGGGGATGGAAGAGCTTTACAAAGACTGGCATGCACATATTTCTTAAATCTGCATTACAAAATGCCTCTAGGAGACTGGAAAGAATGGCTTCTTGACTTTGGGGAAGAGATGAAAAGTGGGAGGGTTTTTGTTTTGCAGTACTGTGCATAGAATCCAGCTCCACCCTGTCTCCACTCAGTGGTAACACTGAGCTACATCCCCAGCCCTTTTTGAGACAGGACCTAAGTTGTTGAGGCTGGTCTTAAACTTGCTGTCCTTAGCATTCAGTCACTGGAATTACATGGGTATACCACTGCACCTGGCTTTATTTCTTAAAAATAAATAAATTTAAATTGTATGATACCAAAAGATTTTTTTTAATACAGGTCATGAATGAAAAACTTCAGCACTGCATGGAACTAACAGATCTAATGCGGAATCATCTGAATGAGAAGAGGGCACTGCGCTTGGAGTGGATGATCGTCATCCTCATCACCATTGAGGTGAATAGAAACTGTGACACAATCATTTTCTACCTTTTTACAATGGAAGGGCCTAGGATAATAAAGACAATTTGAGATACAAAGTTATAGCAGGAAAGGGGATAACTTTTAATTACTAATTCTATTCACAAAAGGGGCTCAAGTTTCAAATGACTGATATTTCGCAATTGCATTAAGTGTAATTTTTGGAAAGGTCCCACATTTTAAAGGTAGCATTTAGAAGTTCTAGTTGTGAATTTATTATGTATAGCCCAACATCAATTGACTGGGCCTCAGATTTGCAGCTTGGCATGGAGAAAGGCAAGTATTTACTCGAGGAGCATTTTTCATTAATCATGATCCTGGAAGTCATTGTAGTTTGCAGCAATACATTTGTTTACTGTGGAGTTAATTTTTTTTTTTTTTTTTTTGTCATCCTAAGGTAATGTTTGAGCTGGGACGAGTATTTTTCTGATCCTGTGATAACCAAAGAGAGATTCAAGAGATATTCAAGTTCTGCAATCAAAAATGAACATTCACTACTGGGTGATCTCTTATTTAATAGATATTTAATTATTTCAAATATCAAGAAATTGTTACAATGGTCTTTTTCAGCTCTAAATATATTATTGCTTGAATAAAAATTAGGAAGAGTACAGTGTTTTGAGTCTGCATCAATGACAGTTCAAAAGAAAATTGTTTTTCCTCAGATTGAAGAACTCTGGATGATAACCTTAGCATCCAGGAAATCTCAGCAGATTCCCCTGGGTTTTTGGTATTGAACCCAGACTTTTTAACTACTGACTGAGCTGCATCCCCAACACTTTTTGAGACAGGGTCTCACCAAGTTGCTGAGGATTGTGCCACTGCAGGCACAATCATACTTCTTAAACAAATAGGCCTAGAATTTGAACACCACCCCTTCATCATGGCCTTGGCTAAAAAAAACAGTACAGGATCTCAGGAGTATTAACATACATGGTATCAAGACAGGCTTTTGATGGTAGAAACACAACATACCTATTTTAGATGATAATTTGAGTCAACTGCTCACTAGTATGTGTTCTTCCCAGAGACACTTTTCTCGTTTCACACATACTTTGAGAAAATCAAAAAACTACCCAGCAGAAAGAACTTACATACCTAACGAACAAGTCAAGGGCTCAGGACGCAGCTCAGTATTAGGGTGCTTTTGCCATCACTAGCAACACAAACACCAAAAAAAAAAAAGGGGGGGGTGGGGTGTTGAAGTCACCTGTCTCAGCTACTCAAGAGGCTAAGGCAGGAAAATCACTTGAGCTTCAGCCCATGAGCAAGACCAACCCGAAGAACCCATTAAGACCCCATCTTTAAATAATCTTAATACATACTCTTCCTTGGGCCCTAGTCTCCACCAAGATGAATTTGCTTTTTCAAACATACACGTTCACACAATATTACTTTGTTCTAAAATGCGAGACTGTCATTTTGTACCAGGAGATTGAACCCAAGGGTGTTTAACCAGAGCCACATCCCCAGCCATTTATTTAAAAATATTCTGAGACAAGGCCTCACTAAGTTGCTGAGGCTGGCTTTGAAACTGTGATCCT